CCCTTGGCGCCGTCAACCGCAACTCGCGAGGTTATGTGGACTTCGAGAAGATGATTGGCTTGGATGGAATTGCTGTTATGAACATCGTGGCGAATCCACAAGAGGCTGAGCACACACAGAAGAAGAAGCTGCAGACGCGTATTACTCACAATGATGGTGCGTTTTAACCACACCGTTTTCGAGTGATTTTCAACTCTACCTTCACAGGCGGAACCTGGAAACCGATGGCGCCGCCGGCCAGGGACTCGCTTGGCCAGAACTACGCATGCAAGGGCACCGTGAGTTGCATTTTATCCATCGTCAACTCGATCCTAAAGACTCCCGCAGAACTGCGCGCTTCACATACACGGATACACAGAGCGATACGACGCTCGTGCCAAGTACAGCAGTCCTTCGGCAGTCGGGCTCATGATGGCCGTCGGAAGTGTTAGCGAATACCTTGCCCCCTACAAAGACAGCGACACGTTCCTCACCCGAGACGGAGGATTCACATGGGAGGAAGTGCACAAGGATGCACATTTGTTCGAATATGGCGACTCCGGCTCAATCATTGTCATCGTCAACGACGAGGAGGCGACAAATCACGTGCTATTCACGACCAACGAGGGCACAAGTTGGCGCGAGTACAAGTTCTCGGACGAAAAGTACCGCATTCGGTCGATTGTAACTGTGCCGTCAGATACGAGCCGCAAGTTTATCTTGCTCGGACACAAGGCTAATGACCAGCATACGTCCGTTGCCGTGCACGTTGACTTTTCGGCCATTACTTCGCGGAAGTGTGAGTGCCTTGCTTTCGTACACCAAAACAACTTGACTGAGGCTTCCATTCAGGCGTTTTGGATCCAGATCACCCGACCAAGGACGACTTTGAGCTTTGGAGCCCTAGTGAGGAACGGGAGGAGAAATGCTTATTTGGGCGACAGGTACGCACAGCCTCCTAGTTCTGCCAATGGTACTAACCAGCCACATAGGTGCTCTATCACCGCCGCCTGCGAGACCGAGACTGCTTTGTTGGAGATCAAGTTAAAACACCTAAGCGACTGGTAAAGAACTGCCCCTGCGTTATGTCGGATTTCGAATGGTAAGAGGGTTTGCCCAACTCCTCTTGCTTGTCTAACTTTGTCCATAGCGAATTTAACTACGTGCGCAATAGCGCCGGCGAATGCGCCCTCACACCTGGCGCACAATCCCTGCCGGGCGACGACACCTGTCCCGGGGATGATGCCGTTTGGTATGACCGGACTGCGTATCGCAAGATCCCCCACTCGTCTTGCGAGGGTGGCAACCGTATTGACCGAGGACCAGAACACCCCTGTCCCGGTATTGGTTCACACGGATACCTGTTCTGGGGCTTTATCATCCTGCTTCCCATTGCATTTGCGAGTGTTGCTGGGCTCCACTTTAAGAAGCACGGGTTTGCTACTGGGTAAGCCTTTGGTCTATGTGTGGCGCGACGTACTCTAACCCTTTGGAACAGCGGCATTCGACTCCCCGATCAAGGCTCGTATCAACGTCCGTGGGACAATGGGGGAATTGTTTCGACCCTGGCGTCTGTGCCAGTCGTAGTTGTGGCAGTATCCCGAGGGCTATATGCGCGGGCCACCTCTATGTTCCCTGGCAGTAGTTCCGGGAGATACCCAACGAGAGGTGGCTATAGGACCGTTGCGGTTGATGAAGATGCACAGGTTCTTCGGTTCGAGGATGACGAGTAGAGGCGAAGATGGAGAAGATGTGTTTCAAAAGTATATCTTGTTGTACCTGTGTCTGTTTGTGATCTGATATCTGACCGACTGTGTTTTGCTGTGAAATGTGTTACACCGCCGAGTATATCCACACGAAAGGGTTCAGCGATCTGGTCAAGTCGTATGAGCTTCAGGGCTAACACTCAGCTTATGGTCAGTGCTGTGCCATCCGCAGCACGACGGTACTGGAAGGCCGGACGTGCTGAGGCGAGGGCATCCGAGAGGTGCCGCCAGGCGACCTGAGGATGAGTGGCTGGGCCGCCACCCCCGAGCGTCAGCTACGCCAGAGTAAAGCTGATTTCCTGGGGACCAATTTAGTTATTAGTCACGTGCCCGCGTGGCAACCTCCTTGGGTACCTATCTCCTTTCATATACTATGTAAAACTGCGCTTTATCCCAGAAAAACTCTGCTAAACAAGTGTCGCCCCAAGGTTTAGCGATGCCAGTCTCCAACTTCCCAGAAGAGGACGCACGGGCAAGCGGCGACCCCGACCCAGGTTACTTTCGCGCCTGGTTGGGAATGACGCTACGGGATGGGAGATACTGCATCTTACGGAAGCTGGGGTGGGGGTCATGCTCCACTGTGTGGCTTGTCCGAGATTCCGAGTTTGTCCAGCCCCCCCCCCCTTCGTTCCGCTGTTATTATATATCTTTCCCCCTAGGTTTGAGCGATACGCTGCCCTCAAGATCATGACTCATGCAGCGACGTCAGCGGGTGGAGTTGGGCAGTCCGACGAAATCGCTATGCTCCAGAAGGCTACCTTTGTTGATCCCTCACACAGGGGCAACCGTCACCTAGTAAAATACTACGATACGTTCGAAATCGCCGGGCCTCAAGGACCACACCTTTGCATAGTGACGGAGGCCCTTGGGTTAAGTCTGGAAGATCTCAGGCGTCAAGTGTCGTACCGCCTTCCCCTGCACATCGTCAAGACCAGCGTGCGACATATTCTGCTCGGTCTTGACTATTTGCACACATCGTGTGGGATTGTCCATACAGGTGAATCCCCGTTTCGCCCCTCTTGGACTGTTCGTGTCTCTGATGCTATCCATAGATGTCAAGTTTGACAACGTAATGTTTCGGTTTCCTGACATGCCCTCAGCCATCGCACGGAACATCGTGGAAGATCCCCCAAAGGTTCGCAGGCCCCCCGCATGGGCGCGGCCTGCAGCCTATATGGCCAAATCACAACCTATCGGCCTGAATTTGAATCCTCTCGACTTGCGTGGATCAGATCTTGTTATAGCCGATCTTGGGCATTGTGCGTGACGTCTCAGTAATATCATGTGGCTGGGTGGCTTACATCTTGGCCAGCTCATTGGGTGCAGCGCCACTTGAGAGAGAATGTTCAGCCCGATGGGTTGCGCGCTCCAGAAGTTACACTCGGGTATGCCTGGAATCAAGCTGTTGATATTTGGGGCCTGGGTTGTTTGGTTCGTTATTCAGCGCTTAATGGTATAACATAATATCTTATTCTAATTGTGCAGACCGCTGAGCTGCTTGTCGGCTTTACCATATTCATGCCTACTTTTCAAAAGTCCTGGGACTTGGACGAGGAACACCTCGCTCAAATGACCGACGTATTAGGAGCCCAATACCCCATGGAGTTGCTGAACAAGAGCAAGCACCGAAGCAAGTATTTTAAGGAAGACGGTAAGCTGCTTTGTTTGTCCATGCTGTATCTGAACTAATGTAGTATGTTGTTTATAGGTACCTTTGTCCATTCTACTGTGCCCCGCAGACCGACCCAGTCATTGCGCGAACTATTGACTGGGTGGTCAGACTTTGGACGTGATAAGCGGGAGGTTGATGAGGCTATTCGGTTCCTCAAGCGTTGCCTCCAGCTACAGCCGGAGAATAGAGCTACAGCGAAGGAGCTGGCTGGGGACCCGTGGCTTAATTTGGAATAACTTGTCGGGTTTGTTCTAGTCCACGAGAACAGAAATAGGAAGATGTGTAGTGTAAACGGGCTTGTGGAACTGCACGCGAATTCTTTGGAATCGCTAAGCCACAATTTCAAGCGTGGCACATAATAATTGCCGACTTAACTAAGCAAGCATGTGAGCGGGGCTCCTGAGTCCTGCGCGGCCAAAGTACCAGCCTCAATTTGCTGCTTCGCAAACTTTCACTTGTTGGATTGGCTTTATTGCCGCCTATCCAATTCGGGCTTGAATCGCAAGCTATTCCCTTCAGCCAATGACTAAGACCTGCAATGACACCGCTTTATTTATGCGTTCGCTGTGAGTTCAACTTGTACGGTGAGTCTTTTTCCTGCCCACCTGAGGTAAATACTTACCCTTGGGGGCCCACTTATGTCGATGACACGGCCAACCTCTAGACGCTCCTGGCACGAACAAACCTGCAACAATATTCATGAACGAGATCGTTATAGCCAGGTGGAGGCGCTTCAAATGAGATGCTAGACGCATATCGACGGGTGGTGAACACCACCCACTGGAACCAAGGGAGACAGAGCTGCTCGAGCCGCAGGTGCTAGACGCATCCAGGCCAGTAATTGGCGATTATAATGCGCATATAACAACGCATCCCACTTGTTACCTACAGGCCAAGGAGTGTCCTTGCACCTGACGGTGATAGACGCTCGCAAAATTGGTGCAGCGTACTTATACGTATGCGTACCAGCTCGTTCACAGGGTTTCATGGCTCGCACTATAGATCGACTGGCCTAGTCCAGCGTGTATACATTTAGGCGTATATGCTAGCTGGAAGGACGAAACGGATTATTTTTCAATACTTGACCAAGCAACGCCCAGGCTTGGGTCAAGTAGTACCTATTGTAGCTGTAAGGTGACCGAGTACGTTGAAGTTTAAACTAGCATTTATGAAGTAACTACTGATATATAGACTCTCCAGCTGATCAAATTTCAGCACTTTTGGCCAAAATCAGTAAAACCAACCACCTTTGAGGGGCATTATCTCCACAGCAGCTGCACCAATCAAAGTAATTCAACCTTCAATTCATTCAAGGAGCTTAGAGCCACAATAAATGTTGTTTGACCTAAGCATGGGTGTTGCTTGACCAAGAATTGAAAAATCACACCTTCTTCATTCCATCCCCCCTGCAGGCCGGTTTTGCCCTTTCAGCTGGTGCATATAGTCGAATATATACACCCTTAACTAGGCTACACAAGCATGAAACCACGTGCTTGAACTGGTATGCACTGTACGAGTAGGTTGTCCCCAAAGTTGGGTGATGCCCCACGCTGTGTGGGGCAACTACAGCAACATTTCAACAATCCGATATGGTGTAATGGCTAACATTGTCGCCTTTCAACTGCCCGCGACGGCTCGGGGTTCGATCCCCCGTATCGGAGTCTTTTTTGTCTATTTTTTCTAAGCTCTTCTCACCAAGGATGGCGGCGGCGCGTTCCTGCCACGCCAGGGATTCGAGAGGATCAAGGCAGGCTCGGGGTCCGACCCCCATATCGGAGTCTTCTTAGTTCATTTTCTCTGAGCTTCCGGTACCTCATGGTGATGGTGATTATATTCAGGACACATGCGGGCATGCGGGGCAACCAAGCTCGGGGTTCGATTTCCTGTCCCGGGGTTTCCTTGCTCGGTACCTTTGTACCCTTTGGTGCCTCGTGGTGGCAATAATTATTCTTACTTGGCGGCTCGCCGAGGGTAGAGACTCGGTACGAAGGGGCGTAATAAACAAGTCACGTATAAACGAATGGACTAGCGCATATATATATACAAGCCCATGTAGAATAAACCATTCCAATGTCATTAAAAGTCCTGAGCCAGAAAATGTCTCACAAGTCCGAATCTAGAGTGCAACACATGCACCGAGGAGGGCCGCCACCACGGTCATACCCGCTCCAATCGCGAATCCGTCCATTCCGAGGTCAAAGCGTAGGTTACCGTTGGAAGTCGTCGGTTTTGCAGTAGCAGTAGGAGCCGCAGCCGACGCAGCCGAGCCACTCGAAGTCGTAGCAGCTGTGGATGCCGCACTTGTCGAAACCGTCGTAACCTGGGCTCCATTCCCGACCGAGCTCACCGCCTGGCACGAGCTGCTCCCGGGTGCCGGATGCGCGGCGGGTGTATTTGGCTCTCCCTGGTGGAACGTCGACGCGCCGTAAATGCCCATAGGCTCACCCGAGTTCCCGACGCAGTTTTCAAACACTCCTTGGTTGTAGTTGCCGGGCATGTTCCAGGCACAGCCCATAACATCGTAGATGTGGTTGCAGAGTTTGGGCGCGTTTTTGCTGTCTTTGCAGGCACGGATGCAGAATTCGGTGGCGGACATGAAGTTCTATCGAGTTAGGCGGTTAGAGGTGCGTATACGATTATGTGATGCGACTAACGGTCCATTCGTGGTATTGTTGGAGCGTGCCAAAGCTGCTACCAAAGACGAGACCGCCATGGGGGTTGCCCATACCATCTGCACCTGCATAGTTATTAGTACCCGCATTAAAGTTCACAGCCCGGATTTACCATGTGGGTCAAGCTCTCCGCCCTCGTCGTTCCCGGGGATGTTCATTTTAGTGAAATCCCCCCACCCAGTAACTTGTACTGAAAATCAACGATAATTAGCCGAGATTCCTCGTTTTGTTTGGCGACGAACCATAATCGGGCGTTTGCACGAAATGAGCGCCCTTGATTGTACCGTCCGGGATAAGCCTGGTCCCGTAGCCGGGCTTGAGGCACCAAGATACTTCGTACTGTTCGGTATCGCCGATGGACGAGTTCTTGCCGTTGGAGTATGGCGGTGCCCAGAGGCAAAAGTCCTCGACAGAGTTGACATAGACATTTTGACTGGAAACTCAGGTTCATAGTGAGCGTGACGAGCAATCTAGTGAGATACCCACCAGAGCGAGTTCTGGCTGTTGCCCGTTCCACACTTATTAGTGCCAAGCTGGTCTTTCTCCGAGTGATCGGGGGCGTTCGAGGGAAGGTAGGTTGCGGTGTACTGGGCTCGTGCGATTGCGGCAAGCAAGGCCGGAATTACAGCGGTGGCAGGGCGAACCATCGTAAACGAATACTAGAGTGCCAAGAGAGACAAGAATAGAAGAGTCGAGGCGGTATGGGACGAGCAACACCAACTGGGGGAGGGGGGGGGGAGAAATACCTGGGCCAGTAAGCGCTAGGCGAGGGCTGATAAGGGCGATGAGGAGGCAGGGATCTGCTTGTGTGACGCATGGGGCTATATTCGGAGATTGCCCCTTGGCATATCCGATCCGACCTACCGTGGGTACTGCTGTGCGATCCTGACCGAGTACAGTATCAGAATAGGCGCCAAGAATAGCCCGGTTCTGCCTCGCCAAGCGCATCATATCAGAAAGTCTTCGTTTGGAACCCCAGGTCTTGATTCCCTAGAAATCAACGGGCCAGATGGTCAAAGGTGTTGGAAGCTTGCAGGGACGAATGATACAAATGAAACGAACTTTTATAAATTATAGGACAAAGCAATCCTGCATACACCCAATGAAACGTACAGCAATTACAACGGAAAGAACGTATATATCGTACCAAATTACATCCCAATAGCATCGAAGACCCCCAAAATTCCAGTAAATCAACCACATCGGCATCCAGCATCTACTCTATGACCGTTTGCGTCGAGAACATGGGTCAGCAGGAGCTTGTAATTCAATGAAACGTCAGTTGAGCCCCTGGAAATGAATCAATAGACTTACCCCCATCGTGTCAAACGCCTGTCCACAAAGTCTATCTGATGAGCCACGATACGTGCACATCCACACCATGTCCTCCCCCGCCAACCCATCCAAATCGGCGAGAACCGCAGATCGATCGGACAACATGGTCTCCGTCTGCATGTCGTCCTGGCTTAGGCCTCCATCCCCTTGCGACTGGTTGGGCAGCATGAGTCGGTTCTCGAGGGCCTTTTCGCGCTGGGCAAGCTCTTGCTCTCGAAGACGTAGCTGCTTTTCGCGTTCGCGTAACGCCTTTGCCTCCTGCTCCGCTTGCAGACTTTCCGCTTCGAAGTCCTCCACCCGTTTCTTGAGTTCGTACCATTCGGCGGCCCGTCGGCGTACGTCCCGTCCATCAGTCCGAGCTCGAATCTCCCTCTCGAGGTCCAGCTGGGCCTGAAGCTGCTTGAGCTCCTGCTCCTTCCGCTCCATATTGGACTCGAACCCGCGCTGCCAATGCGACAGACCCGCTGTAACTTGCTTCTCCAACATGCACACTCGGTCGTTCAACGCCCTGTTCGCATCGGCCAGCGGCTTGACTTCGTTTGACGCAATCGTGTACTGCTCGAGCGCCACCGCGCGCTGGGACTCGGCGATCTCGGATTGGGTCTGTGCGGCCATGAGCTGAAGTTGGAGATCAGCAATTGTTTTCGCATGGTCGGCGAGTTCGGCGGTATAGGCCTCCTGTTGTTGTTGAACGATAGCTTCAGACTGGGCCATGTTGTCTCTGAAAATGGCCGCCGCTCGCGATTTTTCAGCCCCGAGCTGCTCGAGCTCGGCGGCAAGCTCGACGATTCGATGGTCTCTCGCTATGATAACATTGAACAGCGACTCTCGTAAAGTTAAACGGACGTACTCACCTGCAAGTTTGCTCTCCGCCTCCTTAAGCGCCTCGGTCATCCTCTCGTTCGCACTCTGCCCGCTCGAATCAATTCGGCCCACATTTGTCCTGCCAAACACCGCATCCCGCGCCTTGCTCAATTCGGGACTCATCGTAGATCCATCCCGTAAAAATGTGGGCGTTGATTTCATCGGGCTATCAAACTGGTCGATATCGCTCGCTGGAGAGCGGTCGCGCCGGAACACCCCAGTGCCCAACTCGGGTACAGGTCCGAACGTGCTAGGAGGTCCCAACCCGGGACTGCTTTGTGTATGCAGGGGTCCAAGCCCACCATTATCTCCGTTTGTCGTATGCGTGAATGGGTTAGAGCTAGGTGGGAGATGTTCGCCGCTTGTGTGCGGTTCTCGGGCGCTCGGGTTTGTGGGTGTGAACGAACTGATAGTGTCTGTTGGAGGTGGGACTTGGCCCGGCGGGGGGAAGGTCCATGAGGATGTTTCTTCGATCGACGAGTGAGTGCGATCCTGAGGTTGCGATAGCGGCTGAGATTGGGGCTGAAGTTGCGGTTGGGAAGCCAGGTTTTGGGACCCTGGGGTAAGATCTTGTGTACCGGGCAAACGTTGAGATTGGGGCGATTCCGACAGAGGAAGGAGGAAGGCGGGGGGTGCCGGGGCTGTAGCCTTTGGACGAGGGAAGCTGCTAGACGAGGTTGGGATCTGAGAACCGGGCTGAGAAGGCAGAGCGGGAGCAGGTTCCGCGACGGGTTGTATGTGATCCATAAAATTATCGGTATGAGTTGCATCAAGGTCCATATCCAAAAAACTCTGAGAGGCATCCGCAGTCGTGTTGCTAAGGTCAATAACGCTCTCAGTAGCGTCGGCGCGCTTCGGTTCTCCCTCCAAGTCTGCCACCAGTGGGTGAGATGCGTCGTCCGCGAGCAGTTCGTCGATCTCCATCGCGTGAGCAAAGGATTGGTCCTGATCGTGAGGAAGGGGAGAACCTCGATCGCTCTCTAGCCCACCACATTCGTCTAGTTGGGCTTGAGCCTCGTCCTCGGCCTCGAAAGCAGTCTCTTGCGTAACGGGTTCTTGCCGTTTGACGTGTTCCTCCTGCGACGGGCCCGCTTTAGTCGCCTGCGATGGGGTCTGCCGAGACGAACGCGCGGAGGGTGGTAGCACCACTTCAAGGGTCATCCGGCGTCTTATAGGTGACTCTGGGCTGTCCGGGCCCACACTCCCAATCCGCCCTCCACCGAGCGAAGGCGAGCTAGTCGGAATCGGCCCCCGCCCGTCGGCCTCTTCCTGGTCCTCGCTTTCTTCCGAGGACAGCTCGCCAACCCGCTCCTCCGCCTTGGGCTCCACCCGCTTGGGTCTTGTCGGGGAGGAGTCCGGCCAGAATGTCTGGAACTTGGGTCTGCCTTGAGAGAACGACTGAGATCTAGTCCTGAACGAAGGCCCGTCCCGCCCGATCTCTTCGTCGTCGTCCGTGTCGGTATCAATTTCCTCCGTCTCGGCTTTGGTTTCTTCGCTCGAGACAGGTGACACCAGTGCTACTTCGTTGGCTTCGTTGGTTTCGCTGGTTTCGGACTGGGACCCGGACTCCTGGGGTTCGTACTCGGATCCAGACGGGGGCTGACCGTGCGCCGCGGCGAGTTCGGGAGGGATAGATTCGATAAGAGTTGACTCGGTCTCAGCAACAGACGGGCGCGGCTTGATGACGATGCCCCTTCCTAACTGTAACACCTGGGAAGGCCTGAGTTTTGGTCGGGTGCTGGAAGTGGATCGTTTGAGTTTGGAAAGATCGACGCGGGCAGGGGAGGTGG